ATTTGGTCAAATTAACATTTGGCCAAATTTTACATGGCAAATGTTTATATAGCAAATGTTTTATTTTGCCAAATATTATATCCCAAATAATTTGCTTGGTCAAATTGACACTTCACATACTTACGAGTACCCACCGTTACCCACAAATCAAAGCATAAGGCACATGGTCATGGTTTTCACAATAATTTTATGTAAAACAGAGAGATTGCAGAAAATAGTATGGTTGCAAAAAGTAGGTATTGTAGAAAATAGTAGGTTAGGTTAGGTTAGAACAGTGACCCTTAATGCGCGAAGGCGAGCGAAGCGTGCCGCGGCAGCGGCCGCCGAGCGCTAGAATCATCTCTATTGTTAATGAATCATTTGGAAATTTCGATAAAAAGAATGAAATATGAAAATTTATTTAGAAAAAAATTATATTAACTACCCACTAAACAAAATAATAACCACAAGCTAATTTGTATTCCATTTTATGCACCAATCAAATTGTTTTGTAAATAGTTTATCGTGAAATATTTTTGCCAAATGAAACATTTGGCAAAACATACTTTGCCAAACAATAATTTGCTAAACAATAATACGCCAAAAACGACATTTGCGAATTAAAAGTTTGCAATAAGTTGTTTTGCCAAATGAGAATTTGCCAAATGAAAATTTGCGAAACGTTGTTTGCGATGTGATAATTTGGGAAACGTTTTTTGGCCAAACATTAGTAATCCTTTTATATGATTTACTAAAAATAATATAATAATATATAAATTCTATCAAATCAATGTCAATTTATAACATTAATTTCAATTTACCTATATGATCATCACAATTTGTTTGAGTAAATAAAAATATTTACATCTAAAACCTTTTGCTATGAAACAATCGTGGGTGGCAGATCCTTGAACGGGTACGGAATCCGTCACTGCATAGAAATTTATTTAATATCGCACTGAGTCTCCGCTGGCGAATCTGACGAGCGCTACATTGTACCCATTCCGCCCATCGTTATTCTGTCGTCGAGTTAATTGCGGTGACAAAGTCGAGCGCGATGATTTAGCACCTGCGACGAGTTCTACAAACCGCGGCATCTTTTACGTTTGCGACTAGAGTCGATATTAGTTTTTATTTATTTGTCAAGACCAACCAATCCATTATTCTGTGTTTGGGTGGAAGTTCAAGCTTCCGTTAAACACACACAGTAAACATTACCTACATAGGCCTACGGTACGAAATTGCAGATTAATAGAAATTGAAATGGCAGGTTATATGGTATCATTTTGATACCTATGCAGAGCATGGATACCGCTTTACATTTCAGACCGAAAAAGCACTGCGACAAATCTAACAATCAAATCTTCCTATCTAACAAATCACAAACCTGCGACTTATCGCAGGAAAAATCTCAGCCCTAATGAGGAAAATCAAGGAAACTCTTACTTAGCGTCGTTCCCGCTCCGAATTGTTCGATAACTGTGAAAAATTGAGGCCGTCCGCTAACGGTGCAAATTGAGTGAAGTAACCTGGCTGTAATACAGCGGGATCGACAATCGGGATACCTGATATTAAAATATGTTTGTAATCGTTAGCCACAGAGCAGTCGGGTGGCGTATACGTGTGTTGTGGGTATTGTAGTAAACAATTATTTTTGACGATAATATTTCATACTGTGACAAGCCACTCCTGGTGGGTGCCGACTCCCCAGCCAGTGGGCGGCTGCGCGGTGGAGGCGATGGGGCGGGCGCGGCCGGGCGGGCGGAGGGCGGGCGGAGGGTCGTGAGCGACGGCTGTGAAATTGATCCGTTCAAACTTCATAATCGCGGGATCATGCTTCGCCGCAGATATTGTGCTACACAATATTTACGCCTTTGATCAGTTAATGCACGCTGAATTTGATAGTGCTGAATCTAACTCTACACGGATGTGTTGAATAAACGACTTGATATTATTATGTTTTATGAATAATTTACTGGTTTTTATTTTTGAAAAAGAAACGAATATGAAGCAGTTGGTTGATATTATTATTTTCTAATTTAGGAAACTAGGTCAGCAAGTGTATCGTGAAGATTGACAGGTATTACGTTTCTAAAGAAGTAGATTTCACCATTTAGGAACCTTTTACCTATTTAGCAAGAGCAACTTTAACATACATTTTATCTACAAATCAAATTAAAAACGGCGTAATTCTCTCGTAATGCCTTTAAGCGTGGCTGCATGCTGCATCCCATAAACCTAATCCGGAGCGTAGCGCTAATGTGTGCGCATAGATCGCGCATTATGCCCTTACACGGCGCGCGCGCTTCCGCGAACGCGGGAGATATGTTGGACAAGTATTATCGACGATATGCCATTTTAATTAAACGATTCACATTATCTATTGACATTGTAAAGTCCTATTAACAACCTGTCATAAAAATCCATTGCCATTATTCATCCCAACTGTGCCTTTATTGACCTATTTTATTTACTACTTGCGAGTCATCACAAGCTCCTATACCTAGTATTACTTAATTTATTTTTATTTACTTAAGGCAGGGTACTGGCTTCAAGTAGACCGAAGTAAACGGCATCTCCTATCGGAGGCCAAGACACACTTTGGGTCGCTGACCATATGAGGAGTATGTAAGACAACGCAAAAAGACAATAACTTACGTCATGTTTATTGCAGCGAAGTTTAGAAGTATGCAAATATTACCTTTACCATTGTTGAAAACTAATATTGTTAAAATTGCCAACATGAAAACGAGTAGGTAAGCATTTTTCCGCGATTGATACCTACCTTATGTCACAGAAGTTCGCTGAGCCAGCTATTGTCAAATATGTAATAGGTATCAAGCAGGATACGTTCTTTGAGATTTGTATATGTTACCGGCAATGTTTATAATTCAGGTATTCTATAAAATAACTAGGTTTTTTATAGAATGCCTAGGGCGTCTGAGCAATGTATAAAATATTAAGAATATTATTTTTTCCATTATAAAATTCTTAGCTATTGTATAGAATACCGGCAAGCGCAAGGCGCAATGTGTAAAATAAATATATTTTGACCTGTATACATGTAACTACCCAGTTAGATAATTTTAAAGTTGCCGACCGTTTCCGGTAACATATTATAGATAAGTAAGACAGCTTTTTATTGGCGGTACGAAGTTTGCCGGGACAGTTAGTAACCTACAAAGTCATTCAGGTTTTTCTGTCTTTTTTGTCATGGGATTTTTTATGTGATAAAGTCAGGGATACGAAATATATAACCCTTTTTTTCAAAGATTGTCGACTGATATGAGTAGGTATATCCCGTCGATAATAGTATTGATGTATTCGCTTGAATAAGTACTTTAGTATGCATGTATTCGCGGCATTGAATGCGGATCTGGCGCGGCGCCGTCGCCTCTGCATAATGCTGCGCAGAAAAAACATCCCTTGACTGGTGAGGCGTGTGTTGCATTGACGAACTTCTTACAAAATGTAGGGACTTAAATGAGTATTGCCGTCTGACATTAATTACAAAATGCTTTATAAACGGAGTTTCTAATGAGTCTAATGACATGTAAAAGACATGTACCTTTCAAACGACTCCTACATTTTAACCCCCGACGCAAAAAAAAGGGATGTTATGTGTTTGACGTGTCTCTCTGTTTATCTAATGCTATTGCATTAGGTCTGTAACCTGTAATGATGGTGTAAATGTGTGAAAATAAATAAATAAATCTTCTTGTCTTTGTGTCTGTGGCAACGACTGAAGAAATTTCAATTTCGTAGAGAAACACCACTTTTCATAGGGCGCTGTGTAACTTTGAGCTTCCTTTATAGGGCCTATAGTAAATAGTAAAAGCCACGCTTCAGTACCATGATGTTATCAATGGTAACACACACTGAAGATCTCGACCGACCGGCCAATTTGAAGTCTATCATTGGAGAGGCCTATGTTCAGCACTCGGTTCAGCAGTAAACCGATAAACTGTGAATTTGTTTTTTATTCGAAAGTTACTGCTAGTAAAAAAAACATATCCACATCGACTCGATTTCACATTGTCCTTAATCACCTTCTCAATATGGTACCACATAGAAAGTTAAACATTTTCTACTGGGAAATGCAACAAACTCGTTAAGTGCTACTTAGTTATATTCTCACTGCTGAATAGTACTGTTGAGTCATGTTTTAATGAAGACAAATTATGCTATTGTTCTGGGGCCGGGGATTGGCGAAAAAGCGCCTTTCCCACTGACGTTTGCTACAGACGCTACGTTGTCTACACGCGAAGTTAGAATATGAACCTCGAGGCTTAAGTTCAAAGAAGACTGCAAAGTCGATTTTGATGTGTTAGGTACTGTGACTTCAATGATGTATGTGAATCGACTTTTAAATAAAGCCTTTAAAAGAAAAACCTGTTTTAAATCCTTCGCTATACTATTCACAAGCCCCTTGCATCTCTTAAGAGTGATTAGTAAAAGGTAGAGTTTAGTCAATGTTAAAAATGGCAAAGAGTGTTTTTTTTCATTACTAGATTTTTAAGATCGACAGTAAAATAACGTAAAAAACGATTAAATCCATAGTTATATTACTGTGGTGTGAGTATTTTTGAAAAAAATCGTTGAACTCGAAGGTCACGCGTGTCATGCGCATGCGTTCTTTCGGCTCGGCTGTCCGAGCGGTCAGCCGGCGCGATCGGCGATACCGCTCCCAGCTGGCGCGCATTGTGTGCTAATGCCGCAACGGCCGCGGCCGGCGCGAGGGCAGCACCCAGCGTGCAGGCCACTCGATATACTCAGATACTTTTAACTTCAACCGAGTACCTACCTACAAGTTTCAGTTCTCAACGCGAGCTAGCAGATGATTACAGTTGTCACCTAGATGTAAGAAGGTAGGTATTTGATGCAAATGATTTTGCTCTACAATAAAATAATCAAAAAATATCTGTACCTGTACATGTTATTTTGCAGACATAATTGACGATTGATAAATCTAATAAATAGCTTTAAAAACTTAAATCTAGCACTTACCTCGCTCTCTACCCGGGACAGCAGCAACAGCATCGCGGAGGGGAGTCTGGTCGCATTCTGGAACAACACAAACCATTCACTGACGCACTGGTGTACATATAAAAATAAAATGCCAATGGAAAAACGGATAGATGTGATTAAACCCTACGATAAAAGCAATTTTTCGCCTTTTGTACCTAACTCTAATTAACACTTAACATCAGGTGAGATTGTGGTCAAATACCTGGCTTGTAAGTAATGCATAAAAAAATGTTTTAAAATTATAGATTTCAGGTACGAGATACTAACTCACAATTTATTTCCAAAGGTAATAATGTTATAAATGATGATTAACTTAATGCTATTTCAGTGTAAGTACATTTTTTTTAAAAAGAGCTCTTAATATTTGTTGAAAAATGTCTTTTCTTCGAATTCTTCAGAAAAAACGTCAATTTCATAGGTACGGAAGGCTTTTTCATAGGTACGTTTTCACTAGAATTGGAATGCCTTCTTGAGTCCATCCCTGCGCTCCAATCGGCAGCCGGTCTTACTACAAATGCCCTAATGAGTCCAAAATACAAGCTATATCTGTTTTTGCCTCCATCCGATGTATTTATCGCTGTTTCTATGTCCGTTAATGTGCCTGGCATTCATACAGTTTCGAAAAAATATTTTTTTTTGCTTTACTCCAACTTTATTACCTGCTATATCATAGATATTTGTATTAAACCTAGATGGTTAGGTAGATAAGCATGAAACTTTGTCAGATAAAATACAATTTTAACACTAATACTCGTACCAGTTATGAGTATAATATATTCGTACCTACTTGTATTATAGTGTTGAATTGTGATTAGAATCTAGGTTATGCTGTAAAGCATAAACTAGATCCTTAATCACAAAAAAAGCAAGACAACGACATCATAACAAAAGCAACTTAGCCAAGATAGACCGAGAATAACAGAGGGTATTTGTAATCTAGGTCCAGTCCAGAGCTAGTGTGGTGGTTATGCCCTTTGGTGTAATCGGATTGCGCTCGTGCCGCTGGGCGCTAATGGCCCCAGTCGATGAAAGTGGCTGCATGCAGGTGAGAGTAAGCCACAGCTTCATTTACGCAATAGCAGCAGACTACTAGATACTCTGCTCAGTCTAAAATCAAAGCTTGATTGATGTTCAGCTTGGTATCGAAATAACTTATACTTAGTCACCAAAATTTTATTAACATACGAGTTAAAAATAAATTATATTACCTACTAAAGTTATTTTGAGTGCTACCGCCATTGCCTTGGTCTGAATAAAATAAATATCCAATACCTGGTATGGGCTTGTTGTTTTACCTATTTTATGATTGCTCTACAGGTCTGTGTTCAGAGTTATATTTTTACTCTACCACTGCTAACCATCAGCTCGGCAACAGGAATCGTGTCGCGTGTCATTATACATATTATTTATTATCTGTGCTCGTGTCATTATCCGTATCAAGATAATTATTGGTAATCAAGAACTATTCAAAAGTCCCTTTATTATAAGTACATAATATCAGAAATGGACAGAATATGTTGCGTCGAAAAACTAGATAACAAATAGAGCATGCAGACCACTGGTATTTCCGAGACGGCACCAGAAAAACAGAAGGCCAGAAACAAATGGAAAAACGACGTTCGTCTAACTTCCCTAAGGTTAGCCTAACATGCTGCAGAATACATTACGTTTCTTGAAACTTTGAAGACAGTTGGAGAAAGCCTACCTAAGAGCACACACTGAATATAGAGACATTTTATAATTTAACAATATCAAGGCGAAAGTTCGGAAATGAACATGCTATTTTAATGGTTACATACATAGGTAACATAAATGGGGCCGGTCGTTGAACCATCGTTGGTCGTCCGACGGCAGGTGGTAGCATAGAGCACGACATAAATATCAGCGAAATACGCGAAATATGGAGCGGCCAGTGGCGGCTGCGCTCACGCATCGGTCACTCGATTTAAAAACAATAGAGTTCCGGTTCCGGTGGCGCGGGCGTCGCCTGCGAGACCACGCGGCGCCGCGCACCAGCTGGCTGGCTCGCCTGTCGGCACTCCAGAGTATAAATATTGAACTTGGAGCTGTAAAAAAAAATAGCGCGATCCATCCGAAACATGATCTGAATCTAATTGTCCCTAGAAATCGATAAAAAAAATCATTAATAAAACATTGTATTGTTAGGTTGTTTGCTACTTGGATGTTTTAATTTTAAATAATAAGTTTTAATACATACTGTGTAATGAGGTATATTTAAAAGCATGTACCTACCTACATATTATTTATACTATACAAAAAAGCAAAAGGTGTGACTGTCACTACTGTCAGTGACTCATTCATCATCATTATTTTCAGCCATAGGACGTCCACTGCTGAACATGGGCCTCTCTCTCCAATTGATTTCCACTGGGCTGACTCACTCACTCACTCATCACGAAATCTCAGAAACTACAAGTACTAGGAGTCTCAAATTTAGCATGGGGGTTCCTTTTAAAACGTAAGTGCTCACTAAGACGAGATTTTGCAAAATTCAACTCCTAAGGGGTAAAAAGGGGGTTGGAACTTGGAAGTTTGTATGAAGGTCCTCTGTTTTTTAAATAAGAGATTTGAAATTTAAAATGTATGCTCTCTAGATGTTATGAGATGTAGGTACTAATAATGTGTCTTTAGAAATCAAGGGTAAATCCCCCCTAGTAAAAGGGGGGTTAGGAATTTTGTATGAAAGTCCTATGTTCTTAGAGTAAGAGATTTGAAATTTTGAATGTAGGCTCTCTAGATATTATTAATAATCTTAAGAAATCAACCGCCCTAAGGGGGTAAAATGGGGGGTTAGTAGTTTGTTTGAAAATCCTATGTTTTTGAAGTAAGAGGCTTGAAATTTAAAATGTATGCTAAGAACGGATTTTACGAAACTCCACCCCTAAGGCCGGCGACACACTTGACGGAAATGACGTCGCGGGTCTTTTGCCAATACAAGATATTGCTATTCCGCAACGGCATTCTCGTCAAGTGTGGCAAAGTCCTAAGGGGGTAAAACAGGGTCCACCTCCACGCGTACGAAGTCACGGGCGGGCCGCTAGTTAACAATAAAACGTGACATCAAGAATGTCTCTGTTACTTCTGAAGCTCATCCAATTAAAATTAGATTTCACAAAAACATTTTTCAAATGCAAAATTTTATGGTTTCCTGTCCAAATAACTATTTAGATCAATTAAGAAATAGATGAAAGCTTGTCCGCATTTCGCGGCCTAGCCCGCGGCCGCGCAATTACTCTGCAATTAGTGATGTTGCATGACGAAAGCGCGTTACTTTTTTAATTTCGAGAAACGGCGGGCAAAATATGGAAATATTTAGCAATAACTCCACGCGGCAGAGTAATTGGCCTTTGGAAAAAGTTTCCGGAATGTTGCGCGCGGGCTGGGCTAGTGACGCCTCATGGATACTGTAGCGTCCCATCCCACTACAACTTCTCATGATCGTTTCGTCCATAATATTATATCCTCGGAATTCACGTTATCAATACAAAATTGTAGGACCTACTTTTATTACATTCAAGCACTCGTATAATATGGGCAAATGGCGAGTAAATTACTGAATTATTTACTATTTCTTTTTATTATGCAAAACCGTAATAACAAGAAAATTGCAATTTTTGTTAAAGTTACTATGTTACACTTGGCGACTGGTTTATCCAGATAGAAGAGTAATTCGCCTGCGCAAACGAAAGGTCGTGGGTACAATTCCCGCATTTAGGCAGCTAGATTTTTTCAAGTTATTTGAATTAGTATTATTAGTTACATATTAGTAGAGAAGTAGTTATCTTTTATTAACACGAATTTGTGCACCAGTGCCTGGTAGGTGTCCTGAAAGACGCAGCGGGACACCCCATCACTAGGTATCAGTATCAGGCGGGGATGCGTGCGAGTCATGAGTATTATTAATTTCCACTTGAACTCGCAAGTTCGCTAATGGAGCGCGGATTAACTCCCGATCCTACTCGGAGTAATTATGTGGACGGAAACTTCACCTGCGAGGGTCCCAGTTTTTAATACACATCTTACGTTGGTATACGCTAGCAGACTAAGTAATATACGTATCAAGTTAAGTGTTTCAAACATTTGAGGGAGTGGTGAGTAAAATGAAACTCAACCATAAAAATAATGGTTTATTCTACTTTCTTTGTTCACCTGGGTGATAGGTGATTATCACCCAGGTGAACAAAGTGTAATAAACCAAAATAAAATAATAGTTATGTTACATATTTAGAAGCAAAAATCAGCCTGTTGCAGGTTAATATTCGGAAACTGGAGATCGTTATCTCCAATTAACAATCATCAATGTTAACTTTGAAACAAAACAGTAATATTAATTTAATTTTATTGATTGTCATTAAGTACCTATGTAAGTAGGTATTTTAGTAAACAAGGTTCTATTTATAGGAAGAACTGAATATTGAAAGAACTTCCGGTTTAGTTTCACTTTTTAGAAAACCAATGATAAAATAATAAGAGTCATCAATCGCTAAAAGATATTACCTACACAAATGCTTATCGGTAGGTAGGTAGGTAGGTAGTTATGTCATTTTGAGGACAATTTTATAATTTACAGAAAATAATTTGTTACAAACAAATAATCTTAAGCGGCTTAATGTGTTTAACGATCCTGTTAATGGCGTCCCTTGAGCGAATCTGTCTTATTGGCAAAGTATGTTAAACAACGAATTCCTAAAGATTTTGGTGAACAATAAAGCAGCAGCCTAAAGTACAATATAATAATTATCCCTCAGGAGCGGCATTGTCCCGCCGAGGCATCCGATTGTCTCCGCGCGCACGGCTTTGTCTCGCGCGGCGCGAGCGCGAACCGCGTACAAAGGGTGAAAGCGGAACACGACACACACTTAATTAGTTTTATTTTCACGGTAAAAATGTATTTACATTCCACCCGCGACCCGATTGCGAGCCGCGATCTAAGACACTTTTATTGAGATTAATATGAGCAATAAACTTTATTTAATTAGGAATAAATATTTGCGTCCGCTCCCACGAGGGGGCGG